AAATGTGCCTATACATTCTCTGTAAAATTTTTAATTTTTAACAATGTGTGCCTGAGAGAATTTTAAATGTATCGGGCTAAAAATGAAGAAGAAGGATCGGTATGTCCTATATTTTGATATTTAATACCTATCTTTTTGTAGCTTGGTAAGAAAACGAAAAGCTTGGGCTAACGAGCAGAATAATGTTTGCAAAGCTTCCCCTATCACTGAATGTACACTATTTGATAGATAGGTAGCTACATGGCAAAAATCAATGAAGGCATACTTTCTTGATGTGATTACAGTGCTGTTGTTCTCACCAATATCTCATTTGGAAATGTATAGCAGTTGGAAAGAAAGAACTAACTACTTAATTTAAAGGCTGAACGGTGAAATCAGATATACTATAACAACTGTTATTGGTTGTATCAATATCCAGTAATAAGCTCACTCATAATGTTTGTTTTGTTTTGTTTTTTTTATCTTAGGCCCTTTCCATTTTCTATTGCTGGCAAGAAAAGGGGACCTGCGGCGTATATCACTCGATACACCTGATCTCACAGATGTCGTTTTACCATTGTCTGGAATCAGTCATGCAGTGGCAATTGATTTTGATTCAGTGGATAGATATGTTTACTGGAGTGATGATAAAAAACTTGAGATTAAAAGATGCCGGTTGAATGGAGAAGGTTAGCCAACTTTGAACTTGAATACACTAATTACGTTAACTGATTTGGGCAAATTTATGGAAACTTAACAAAAGTTCTGTCAAGTTTGTTCAACATTTTTTCTGGTACCATCTATATTGCTGAATGGAAAGAGTAAACTGCACGTCAGTCACCAGAACTTATCCTGCTTGGCATGGCATTCAAAAAAGTTATATTGAGTAGTAAACAACATGAGAGCCAGTCTGGATGTTAATCTTTCTTCTAAACTGTTTTCTGTCTTTTTCTTTGTATTTCAGATGTTCAGGTAGTAGTAAGGAGTGAGCTGAAACATCCTGATGGTATTGCTGTTGACTGGGTGGCGCGGAACTTGTACTGGACAGACACAGGCACTAATAGAATTGAAGTCAGCAGACTAAACGGCTCTGCTAGAAGAGTTCTTATTGATGAAAATCTTGATGAACCAAGAGCAATAGCATTGGATCCAACTAAGGGGTAAATATCTGGGTATAATTACGATATTTATTGGGTGAGAAATCTGTACCCAAAGTCTTGAGTACAGCCAGAGGCCAAGAAGGAAGGCCGTACTCATGTTGAGGGCACAGTTTTATCCCCGTATATACGTATGTGTCAATGAGAAAGGCTGTTATAAGTTTGAAATGTTCTAACATGGTCTCACTTAGGTACATGTACTGGACTGATTGGGGAAAACACCCAAAGATTGAGAGAGCAGAGCTTGATGGGAGTCATAGAGTCATCTTAGTGAATTCCTTGGTCGCGTGGCCAAATGGCCTCACCATTGATTATCTGAAGCAAAAGATTTACTGGGCTGATGCAAGGAATGACAAGATAGAAGTCATGAACTTCGATGGGAGTGCCCGCCGTATTATTTTAGATAAAGAATTGCCTCATGTGTTTGGCTTTACTGTGCTTGGGGATAATCTTTATTGGACGGACTGGAAGAAGAGGTCAATAGAGAGTGCGAACAAAAGAACTGGTGAAGACAGAAGAGTACTGATTGACAGCCTACCCCATCTTATGGGACTAAAAGCTGTAAACCTTAATCTCTCCTATGGTAAGAAGCATTATTTATTTGATATTTAAATAAGTTTTGACTATTCCATGTTTCCTTCTTATTACACTTAAAACACCTTTTTTTGG